GGTTTTTGAGACCTGTCGGCGACGGCGACATAGTCGGCCATCGGCGGCCATACTCCAAATAATATTTAGACAGAGACATGCGGCCTTGGTTTACCGTGTACTTCTTTGATATTGAACATCTATGTTATGATCAATTGACACCTGTCAAAACAAGGTATCCCCTGACCAGTATCACGTGACCATATCGCGGGCTCAAGTTTACAGCTCATCGCTCATCGAGGTCACTTGTTTTTTTGAAGTTGACCGCTGACCAAGTGCTGGTTTTCGGTTGGATCGCAGGCTCATGTCAGGTTAACTTATTAAAAACAGGGCAGGATTGTTCGGAAGGTGGTTAACGCTAACCCAGGATTAGAAGTTAACCGAATTATAACTTTTTCTTCTATACAAATGTTTTTTGCTGTTTTGTTTTGTGTATATGGTGATTATTAAAACTCAAAACAGAAGGCCAACCGATATACAGAAAACGTCCCTACAAAGTTGGAAACTCAAATCAAAATTCTACCTTTTCCTGGGTTAGCTTACTCGGGCTCTGAACAACCTGGCCCAGGAGCTACGCTTTTCAGGTTTTAGGCTGGCCTAAATCTATGTATTAAATTCATGTGTCTGTCTGCTTATTGACAATGAAAATAAGCCAATGAGCACGCGAGAATCTCTGCAGTTATTGAAATTTTGTCCTAGCGCTGAGACGTCACGAATTTAATCTCAATGAGTTACCGATTTGCTCGATTTTCCGTGGCGACCAATTTTCTTCAAGATTTAACATGGTGTATCGGGCGTCTTCTTTGCGAGGTTTAGCCATCGCACAGATGGTATTTGGTGCTTTAATGCTTGTCTTTGGAATTGCATCTATTGCTGCTGTAGATCGCTGGATTTCGTACGTTGGTTTTGGAATCTGGGTTGGCATTTGGGTAAGCACAAAATTCCATGCGAGATTTCGAAGTTTTGAGACTTTCGCTGAAATGATAAGTTTAAGTTCTGACCAGGAACATACCTCATCGAGACCAGGTCAGTGTTTTAAGTGTATTCAGTGTATTGCAGTTACATACATGCAACTTCAGTTGCTTCACCTTATATATGAATTTCCTCGGTTGCACGTAGAATTTAACTTTAGCTCGCAGCGGTAACGACGTCGCTCAGATTTCTCGGTAGCTCGATCAAACTGAACTTATATTATGATCAGTTAGAAAATTCATGTCTTCGCTTACCAACTACAGTTAGGTAATGACCGAATTAGTACTTAATTTGAAAACTTCAAGTGCAAAGTTAATTTGGTTAGTAGATTCCTCCCTGTTCGGCCATTAACGTAAGCTTTTAACCCAATTTTATACGACGTGATTCGCAAGTATTTGCCAAGTGGAGCATGACACGCGGCTTTGATGCGCAGATCAGGCTGTTGGTTATTCACTCAAGGCAGGATTTAATAAGTACCTACAATATATATAATATATATGAGCTAGCACTTGAAATCTGAAACCACATCTAAACCGGAAAACAAATTTTAAAAGCTTGTATTGGCCGTATTTACCTATGTTTGTCTAGGCAGGCCAATATTGGGCCGGGTTTCAGGTGAATTATACATGTGCGTCGATAATTAGTATAGGTAATCATACGGTTTCTTGTTCTATTTGGAATTTATTTGGACAAGTGAGTTTTTCAAAAAGCTGAAATTGCACAAGCCGCTGCTTCGAGTGCAATTTCAGCTTTTCAAAAAACTTAAAATGATTCCGAAGTGAACAAGAAAGATTTTATGGTAACTTGTTAATAATATAGAAAGAAAATGCACATGGAAATAGTGCCAGAAGATCTTTCTTGAAGTCATTTTTTCTCATTCGCGAAAAGTTTGTTTCAAAGTTTCCGCACACAATTTTCGTCATCATTTTATGTGATATCATTGGCTTAGATAATTTCCTATTGTCTTTCAGCCAATCATAATGCAGAATTATGATGTGTAATTTGTACTGGTGTTACACTTTTTACACTGGTGTTACACTTGAACTGCACTGCTCTCAGCCAATCAGAATCCAGTCTGACTATGTTCTTTGCAAGTGTTTTTTCATTTTCTACGTTATTGCCTTCTCATGCTAGTATGGATGCTTTTTTAATGTTCTGCTTGTTGCATATGATCCTTCTCGGTAACTTCCTTGTTTTACATTGTCTAACTTGTTACACTATTTCATTGCACGGTTATTTATTTTCTTTTACGAGAACTTTATTTCAACAAAGGCATGACTGAAAATAAACAACAAAGGCTATAGGCCACTCAAAGGCTATGGAGGCCACTAATACTAAATAGTGGACAGGGAATCAGGCGGGTAAACCATATTACCTTATTATGAGTAATAAGCAAGACAATCGAAAAACCGGGTTCCTAAAACATGCATCATATGTTGCAGCAGTGACAACAGAAGAAATTACGTTTAGAAACACCTTTTGTCCTGATAAGCATCTATGCTTTTTAGCGGGAAAATCCCATCCCACGTTGCTCCGAGGTTGACTGCAAAATACAGGGTACCAAATTTCTGTCATTCATCACTATCCCCCCCCCCCCCATTTGCCACAATTCATCACTATTTCCCACTATTTGCAACTGTTCGCCACTGTTCGCACTATTTGAAACTATTCCTACTATTCGCTATTTGTGACTATTTGCCATTCACAACTATTCACTATTCGGGTTTTCCAAACACCCAGGAGAGTACAAAGGGTGAGGCCGATTTGAAATCACAAAGCAGCATGATTACTCTCTAAATAATTTGTACGACACAAGATCCAATTACTACTAATAATTATTAATTGTATCAATAACAAATTTTGAGATAATTTTAAAAAGGTCTTATGAGAACTTCTTTTGAGCAAACAAGTCAGTCAGTAGCAATGTCCATACATGTAAGTTTTAAAAGCTGTAGGAAACACTAAGAAGAAAGCCATTACAGTGCAGGTAGCTGACTTGTTATTGGTGTAGGTATCCAATTACAAAACGTCTTTGGTTAGAGTGTAATTGGATACTTGTATTTGGAGTCACACCCACATGATTGCACACAGATTACCTGACAGAAGCAAATATATGGTCAAGAATAATGTTATAGATACAATAATTTATTAGATATTTAATTTTTGTGTCTAGGCATAACGAGCCAAACGTTCTTAGCAGCTGAAAAAACAGACCTGGGATCCCATGGAGATGTAGAACTTTTAGTCCTACATCTCCACGGGATATCCAGTGGCTTACAACATTCCAGTGTAATCATATCCCTGTCGGTGATCGTTTATGTTCCACAAAACACGTCAAGTTTTGCACGAATGTGTCATAATCCCAAAGTGTGAAATTATATTTTCTGTAACACAATTCCATTGTGTTTGAAAGATACCAAACATTTTAATAGTCAGCTATTAGGGAAATCACGCAACTGACGTAAAGAATTTGGATTAAAAGAAAAAATAACGTTGAAACAATGTGTTTTCTAGGCTGGGGCGCAACCACCAGTTTAAAACTTAGACGCTTTGATACATTTCTTACTCTTGTAAAGCTATGGAACATGTATAGATGAAATGTTTTCGCTAAGCGCAGTTATCACTGCTATTCAGTAAGCGAAGTGACTATGACCGGCAGCCCAGAAATGCCCGAGAGTCAGAAATTTTCTCAGACTTTCCACGGAAAGCCTGATTCAAACGTGTTTAGAGTATTCTCTGTATAAATGTTTGTTGTGCTTAGCGATTCCAAAAATAATCTGAATTTTGTAGTAGTCGAATTCAAAAATCATGTGCACCGACACTTTGTAAATCAGTTAATGTTATGGACAGTCAGGAAATTATCTCAAAAATTATGACAAAGCTCTCAAGAACGATAGAAATCTCGAGTATATAATCTAGTTGTTTACGAGAAATGCCAAGCGATTCTGGAAACAGCACAATGGAAAAATCACTATCCCGATTTTGTTACATATCCCGAAGCATTCGGCAACTGTACTGCATGGGCTTCAGCCTGGATGAACCAGGAAAGGATATATAGCATGTTCCTATAATGTCACGCACGACAGAAAAATAACTATAGCGATTTTGTTACATATCCCGAAGCACTCAGCAGCTGTATTGCATGGACTTCAGCCTGGGTGAACCAGAAAAGGATATGTAACATGTTCCTATAATGTCACGCANACGACAGAAAAATAACTATAGCGATTTTGTTACATATCCCGAAGCACTCAGCAGCTGTATTGCATGGACTTCAGCCTGGGTGAACCAGAAAAGGATATGTAACATGTTCCTATAATGTCACGCATTACTAAAAAATTATGTGGCTTTAATTTTGTAAAATATCTTGTAGCACTTGGCAACGTAGAAATACTGCGAGGATTATATGTGCCTGATAATATGGTGATTTTTGTCTTTTAGAAAACTAGTGTACCAGGGAATTCAGTCTAGGGTCTAACCCACAAATAAAAATAGTGATTTAGCATTTTAGTAGCTATCTAGTCCCCATACAATCTAAAAGCATGACAATACATGTAAGTTGTGATATAAATAAAGGATTAATCAGATGACTTAACTTGGTGCATTCGGTTTGTTGAGTTTTGAAGCTGTTGTCTTGATTTGATCCTCTAGGAGGCTGGTCACAGGCAACGCTAGCTGAAGACACTTTCTCGGTTTTCTCCGTTGTTCTTGGGTGAATGAATTCATGTATAAATCAGTTGTGGTTGGCGGTTTCGTTTGGCTTTCAACAACTGTTTTATGGTTTAAGCGACAACCAATCCAAATGTACAGGCTGGGCCACTTCTTTGTTGCCCTTCCCGTGAAAAGAAAACCTGTGCATCTTCTGTAACTCCTCAAGGCAAATTCGATTGAAAACTGGCTCAATTTTGCACAAATACATCAGCAGAAATACTATATCTTCTAACTCAGAGGCAAATATCATTTTGCGTCCGTTTTCAACGGCCGATGACGGGTTCATTTGAAGTCAAGGTCCTTAGTATATATGACCGTGCAATATTCCCGTGTCATGAAAATTTATTATAAAATATCAATTGTGTGGCCAGATCATATCTGAAAATAACCAGGTTACTTTTGTACACAATTAATTTCTCTCATTGAAAGCAATTATCGCAAAACCACAATAGAACCGCAAAATTCTTGCGATGACAGCAACATAACAGATAAATGACGTCACCCCATAGCAACCAGACCTGGCAAATATTTGAGCTTCCAATTAGCTCTGGCTCGTGATGAAAAAACTTTAAATTTTGTGTTACACCACAAAACCACAGTTGCATGATAAATTGTCCAGCACCACAATTATGCAAACCCAATGTCCCTCTGCATTCTTAGAACAACTGTTTCAGAAATATGAAGCCATCTCAACAGCCTTTTTAATGTTCAGAACAAGTGATTTTGTTGATATTAGGATTATTAATATTTTTGCTCTCTTAATGAATTATTTTGCCCTCTCTTTTAGATCATCATTACAGGAATTTTGGGATACATCGGTGCAAAAGATGACTTAACTCCAAACAAATGTTTGGTGAGTTTCACTCCAGCTGTAGTGATATTATTTTATTCCTTAGCTTGTGCTGTACATTGTACTTTGAATGTGCACTTTCTACTTACTCAAAGTATCAACCATCAAGTCTTATCTTGCTGAAAATTGGGCAGGGGTGTGCAGCCCGCTTTCCAAAATCCTTACCCTATTTATGACCAAAATCTGCGATATTCCCTACCCTGTTTATGTCCCGACCTAAAATTCGAAACCCTATTTATGACCTGATGCTTAAATCAAAACCCTGTTTGAGACCTGCCTTAGATATGATTAGTTCCCTAGTTCAGACCAATGTTAAACTGCTGTAAACATAATTTTTAAAGGGCTCTTGTTGATTTTCTTTTCAATAATGATGAAAAAGTGCATTCTTCTTAAAAACATACCCATATCAAGGCTAGAGTGTGAAAACCATACCCTATTTATGACCAAAATGGCCAAAATCTTTACCCTGTTTATGACTAAAATGGCTGAAAAACCCTACCCTTTGGGTCCACACATACCTATATAGCCCATATAAGGGATTACCCCCAGGGCTGGCACCCTGTCTATTCTAAAAGCAATGGGCAACTCATTTTTTGCATATACTGTCCGATTGCATAGAAGATCATGCCCAAATTCTGACAAAAAGGAAGAAATAAGGTTTAAGTAAGGACATACAGTAAGGTTTCCTATTATTTCAACACTGTCATTTAATAATAAATCAATTATAATACAGTATTTATAAATTACTACTGACAGTATAAATTATTTTGTGTTTTTATCCGAAAATGTATTTTAAGGTATTTTATCCGTCACATTTGAATTTTTAATGTATTAAATGTTATTTTTAAGGAATTTTTATGCACAACTGAGAATTACATTGGTATTCTGGACATATTGGATTTTAATTAGTATTTTTTGTTGACAAAATTACTCGATTCTGATTGGCTAAGAGCAGTTCAAGTGCAACACCAGTGCAAATTATGATGAAGATATCTGAAGTTAGTTCAAGGACACTTGTAGACTACCAACCATCAGTCAAGGTTTTTCATAGGTGGTTGAAGTTTACCTGAAGCCTTCTGAAGACAGGCGAAAGAAAATCTGGAAATTGCCAAAGATTCCAACATTGTCAAAAGTTTTGTAAATAGTTTCAGACAATTTGGAAGATATTTGCAGGACCAAGGGCACTGCAGCCTGCTTAAGTAAATGATCAATGTATGTCAAATATAACCTTAAATAGTCTATTTTCAAGTGTCTCATTAGCAAGTAATTACATGACTATTCTCGTGCTATTTGGAATGAAATTATAAGCACTTTTAAATTTTTCAGAGACTACAAATTGCACTTGTCCTCCTGGGTTCATGCAATTTTGTAAGGAAAATTTCCTTGACGTGCTTATTTTATTCCAAACTGCATTACATGTAGTTACAAATCGTTACTTTTGATTACGTAATACTACATGTAATACTCTTTATAGTATTGAACTTTTGTGTGAATTGTTAATTATTGTTAGTAATAAATCTGTTTTAAATAATGAATCTAATAAACATAATATAAATCTGTATCTTTGCCTTTCTTTTGTTTAATTGTTGATTGTAATACTTTTTGTCTGTCAACAGATTGGTTGTTTTATGGGCTTCTCTATCTCCGTTTGTGTCCTCACTGGAATCATGTTCATCAGTTACTGCGTTGCTATGGCGGAATTCAATGAGATCATACGTTGCAAGAAGAGTGGTTGGGATCGTAGTTACTACATGTATAGCAACAAATACTGCTACTCAAGCAGTTACAGACACACGGCTGCGGTTGGGCTTGGTTTAAGTTCTTGTATGTTAATATTTACCATAGTTGAGTTCATTTTGGCCCTTTCATCCTCCATCTACTGCTGCAATGCTGTCTGTTGCAATGCTTCAACAGGTGTTGTGAACACCGTAAGTGTGGTTCATACTTTTGTTTATGCTTGCAAATAAATTAAATGTTCAGGGTTTCTACAAGTCATTGAAAACCTGGAAAGTCACAGAATTCACGAATGTCATTTTCCAGGCCTGGAAAGTCATGGAATTTTATTGTTGGTCATGGAAAGTCATGGAAGTTAATAGTTTAATGTCTGATACATTCATTGCTGCACATGTCAAAACAAGAACACAATAAAAAAGGCAAGTGATCAAGCAACTAGCCTCCCACGCAGATGCTCTTTAGGACAATTTGAACTTCCCACATTTTGGCAAACGCCAGAGATTAGAAGAAATGGAAATTTGACTCTAAAACAAGCCTAGGATAGTTTTGACGATTTTCAATTAGTAGTGACAGTTAAACTTAAGGTCAAGAAAAAATGGAAATGGTCATGGAAGGTCATTTGAAGAGCTTGAAAGAGTACAAACCCTAACAGTCTGATGAAATATAATACTTTACATGTACTTGTACATGGAGTGGTGGTATTAACAGAAATAGCAAGACTTTGCAGGAAGGCAAGACTAGCATTTTTCTTTGCGAGCCCAAGACATTTTGACTTTTTAAATTGCAAGTTTAGAGCTCTAAGATGTTGAGATGTCATTTATAAAAACAAACAAACAAATCTGACAGGACTTTGAGAGACACCAAGACAGCTTTGTGAAAAAATCAAAACTTGTGTCAAAATTGTGTTGTCTTTGGCATTTATTAATCTCATACCATCTCATAATTTGACTTTGGATTGTTGTCAGACTGTAACCAATCAACAAGTGACTTACGTACAGCAGCCTCAACACACCTTTGCAGGGGGACAAGGTGGAGTGGTTATCATTCAACCGACCGGTGCAGTGACAACTACAACACACGGCTATCCAGTGGTAGGCCAACCTGCTGTGTATCTTCCACAGCAGGTAAGTTTTCATTAATAGTTACATGTACACGTGTATACAGAAGCTGTGTGAAGATTGCTGTCACTATTAACATCTCATGCATTGAGCATTAGGCTACCTGATTCTCACTTTTTGGAGAAATATCTTGAGAGCTTTGCAAATGATTGCATTCATAAGAGATTACAAAATAGAAATACAGTTGGATCCCGCTAATTTGAACTTGGTTATTTTGAATTCCCCATTACTGTATTTCTAACTCAAAACATTTTCCTTGGATTTACCCCTCAGTCATTTACTATTGGCTATTTCGAACCCCGCTATTTCAAACTATTTTTAGGTTCCGATGAGAGTTCGAAATAGTGGGGTTCAATTGTAGTGCAGTAGTGGAAAAAAATTGTCTTAGTTTGAAGTCTGTAGTTATTATAATGTATTAATGTACAATGCAGTTTAACCATCAGATGATGTCATCCATGGATCATATTTTTCCCATGTACAGTAATATTATATTTGATATAATTTTTTGACACCTTAAAAAGCTGTTAACAGATTTCCTGTTGTGACCTTAAAGTTAATAAATTGTTCTCAGAATTAATAAATAAACAGTTTTTGCCGGCAGTGTAAAGTTTAAAACATCTTTTTACTGAGAATTGTTTGGTCAGTTACTGCAGACCTACGTGTACTGTACTCTGACTTGGGTGGATTCTAGAAAACATATGGTTTTTGACCAAAGCAGAGCAACACCATGCTGATCAAACCAATTTAAACACTGTCCTTGCACTGAACTGTATAATGGCATTTCTTTGTACTTATGAACACAATCTCTACCCTCACACAGCCAGCTGTACATATGCCAATGCAGCAGCCTCCCTACTTTGCTGCACCACCAGGACCCATCCCAACTGGTGCATTAAATGTGACCTATGCTGGTGCTGCTGGTACTCAGGTGCTCTATTTTTATTTTATTCTTTGTTGTTGTTTTGTTGAAAAATTATTATAAACACTATTGTTGAAAATTCTTTACCAAGGTCCAAAGATCTGGAATTCCCTTCCTGTTACAATCACTTCTTTGTCAAGTTTTCCCAATTTTAAGAAAAAACTGCCAGTAAGAGTTTTTAGTAAAATAATCACTGAACTGTCAAAGCCGCACACTGTAGCACTTTCTATGTAACCATATTGTTATGTACGAGGTGGCCTCAACTATAAGCCTGGTGGTTTCTAGAGGTCACCTCACCATACATTGAAATATTTATAAATAATTAATATATTAGGTAAAAAGGCAAATAACCTTGAATCTAAAAAAAAAATATATTTTTCTTTCTTCATTTGCTTATTTGTTTGTTTCTTGAACCTGTCTTGTAATGTAACCAAACTTCCATCAGGAATGATATGATCAGCTACAATACAGAAAGGTTAATGGAGCATAATATTTATAGAGTAAATAACCGGAAGGGGTGGGGGACATTCATCCCTCCCTTTGCCCCTCCTCTTGTCCTCTTGAGGATTAAATGATAGATTGGTTTCTTAATATACGTGCTGACTATATAATTTTTCACAACTGCAAAAAAATATATAAATACAGTAATGTTCACTTTAATCCAGTTGACCTTAGCTTGAAGTCATATCTGTTTGACCTATTTCACAGCAACCACCAAGGGATTCTGAGCAGCCACCACCTTATTCCTACATACAGACAGGAAATGCACCACCATTAGCAGGCTCCTCTGGCGAGACTCCTTCCGAGACCTTGCCTGTTGATGTGTGAGCACAGCTGTGACTTGAGTGCATGCTGCAATGGGCTTACGTTACAGTAGCTCATTACCTGTTGCTAATGAGCCTGATGAGCGAGTTCTTTCATGTACATATAATTGCACAAAGAGTGGTTGTTATCAAAATTCGTCAATAAATTTTGTTGACTCTTTAATTTTCTAAAGGGAACCATGTAGCTTGATTTCTAGCTATTTTATGAGCACAGCAATACCAGGGGTGGATTTAGGGGGAGATGGATTGGGTGGCAAGTGACCCCCTCTTGGTGAAGCAAAAAATTAAAAATATAGTGAATGTTTTGGCAGAAATAAACTAAGGCAAAAACTCTGGGCAGGTACCTTATTGTAATGTATAGTTTACAGTGGCATTGCTAGTATTCCTAGTGTAACAGTTTAGAGTTAGGTTTCAATTCTCAAATTGTAACATTTTAGTAGCATGCTCCATTGATTCTGCAACTCTATAGTACTAGCCACACCCAGATCTTGTAAGAATGTGAACACAACTCAATATTGATGTATGGTAGTCACCCATACGGGGTTAAAATGAACAATGTTGGAGGCAGTCGTGTCTGAGTGGTCCTGGTTTTCAAGGCTTTCAATTGCACCAGTGGCTGGGTTTATTTCCAGTACAACTCATTTCATACTTTGTAAATAGCTGCGTTGGCCTGCCTCCTGCCAGTTTGAATAATTTTACAAAAATGGCATGTGAAGAGCGTGTGACACGAAATAAAAACAATACATTTTTATTTCATTATTAACTTAGTATTATGTGGTTCTGCAATTTTCGCCTAAAGCTTCCCTACATAAATTTGTTTTAATTGTTCTTGAACGTGCGTTACTATTATTTAAATAAAATACTAGAATAGTTTTGTAATATACTCTTCCAGAAGTTGAGGAACAAAAAACGGTTTTCAAAACAGAATGTACTTGCTTCGCTTGCTTGAAAACATTGTACAAGAAATGCTTGCAATACATCTTTTATGTCATTATTTATCTTTCTTTCTTTATTTATTTGATATTTATTCGCTGTTTGTTTATGAGTGGTACTGCAAAGCAGTACATTTTATATTTTTTATGTGCACACATCATATGCAGTTACCTTGTGGCGCAATCGTTACTGCTTGTAACTTGTTGTCAATTTATGTATTAAACGTTTGTCAACTGAACAGGTTTTTTTGTCGTTTCTTGCAGTTATTATTTGATCTATAGCTCAAATCTGGTCATTCAAAGGACCTGTGGATAACTCTTATATTAGAAATGGAACAAAAATGCGGGCCATTTAATTCTTTCAGGGATAAAGCATGTGGATAAATCACATGGGGGACTCCCACAGAAAGAAGAAGCGTTCTCGTCATACCTTTAGGGCTTAAAAATGCGATTTTGCCACCTCGTAGGGTGTTTAGCCTCAAAAGGTCCACAGCGGGAGCTTTTGCAGTGCCTTTTAGGGTATTAAGCCGAAAAATATGACAGGAGATAAATGTGTTGTTTTATGGGTCTAATATGTTGTCTCTAACGGGTGAGAAACATTTAGAGCCACGCCCATAAAACAAGATCTTGGTACCTCTTAAGGGTTTTGTATATGGGATTTTCCCCGGGCGGATAAATACCCTGATTTTGAAAAATTGGCGCACGAAACTTAGTATAGTCTGAGGGTTTTTAGTTACTAAATTGAAGATGAGTCAGCGGAAGTAAACTTTCTTGAGGGTCATCAGCTGGTCATATTTTCTATAAGCATGTCAGGTCCGTCAATAATTCCACATGTTTTCATCCTTTTCTTTAAAAAACAAAAAAAAAACACTGCAAAACCAACAAAACATATAGTGCGGTACGGCGTGTAAGGGACCGTTCATTTTTTATGAGGGAGGG